ACACTGACCGGCGCGGTCTGACTGCCGCTGTGTCTATAGAGATCTACGAGGGCGGTTCAGATATGATGGAGACAAATGCTGTAGATGGCGCATATGTATATCTTGAAGGTCGTGGCTTGAGTATGTGATAGCTGCGTCCCTTACAAACAGTGTGGCACAGCTTTCGTTATAAGCGCATGTTTCACGCGCGTGCTAACGACCATGAGTGAAGGTCAAGTGCCGTCCGCCGTTGCGCAACGTATTGTCAGTCATTTGTTAGTGTGGGAAGGCGTTAAAAACACGGAAATTTTTGTGCGTTTGCGAAATCAGTTCTGTAGTGAGTGCCTGAGTAGGGCTGCTGTGTTTAAATGGGCCATAGCATTCAAGGATGGCCGCGAAACCGTCGAGAATGAGCCGCATGATCGTCGACCGCGAACCAGCATGACAGCAGACAACATTCGCCGTGCTATACGTCGACTTCCTGAGCACCCAACGTTCCATCAATGCTGCATTCTACTCTAACCTTCTAAAAACATAGGCGAAACCCGCTTATCGCTCGAAATGGAGAAGCATTCCAGCAAGAAGTGCGATTCTTCTCCAGGCAAACGCGCTCCCTCATGCTGGGCGTCTCACGCTCGATACAATATCGATATTGGCGTGGGAGGTACTAGAACACCCCCTGTATAGTCCGGATTTATCACCCTGCGACTACTACATGTTTCAACACCGACGACGAGGTAGAAGAGTTCCTGCGCACATGATTGTCCGAGTTGCCCAAGGAATTCTTCGATACCGGCATTAAAAAGCTTCCGGAAAGGTGGAAAAAATGCGTTACTAGTGAGGGAATATCCCTAGTGAAACTGTGAATTTTTGTAAATTTTTTCGATAGTAAATAAACGTGTCAGATCATTTGTCTCGATCATATTTGAACCACCCTCGTATTAGTTACAAAGAATGTGGACCGCAGAAAGCGGAACTAGGAACGCATTCTGTCTGCGCCTGCCCTTAATGTTCTAGCATTCGTGTGATTGAGCAAGATTTTCAAACAAAAATTGCAACTCGCCTGCATATTTTGTGAAATCAACGGAATCACGATTTACACAAATTATCAGTACACCATTCATCCCTGTGCCCTGCAGTGGCTCCTTCCAGCTATATTATAAAATTTGCAGCTTAGACAATGGGACTATAAATGGTTTCCAAGTATGTCATCTCTGAAGCAGATGAGAGCTCAAGTGCCATGATAGGCAACACGCATAGCTACTACAAGTGAACGTGAAGTAAATGACAGCTAGTTCCATTTCTTCATGAAAACCTGCATAATGTGATTAGAAATCCATATGCCTTTTTTTGAGGTACGTAATATGTGTGCGGATGCATGAATCTTGTTATGACCAGATCACAAGTAGGCGGAAGAGTTTGAAAACTCGAAATGTTATAGGACTTTGTCGGAGAAAATTTACAGTTTCGTCTCCCATCACGGGAGATACCCTATCAGTCTCAATATCAAAGTGCTATCAGGAGGGGTGTTATGTAAAAAACTTAAAGAAACGTAAAAAACGGACAAAATGTCATCTTGAAGACTAATTAGTTTTTAGAATGCCAATAGGTCATTCCACGTTTGAGACCGTCATGAAAAGCGTCCATCTATGGAGTCAACGTCACAACACGCTCAAGCATGCATTGTTGGTTGCAGAAAGCCAAATCATGTTCAAAGTTATAAATTACGTGTTTTTCCTTTTTTTTGTTTTTCAAAAACATTGAGTTTCCTTCCAGCTATAGCTTACAACTTACAGCTTAGACCTCTAGGCAGCACCGGTGGCCGCAGTAGTATACTCTTCGGTCTCCTGATCAGTCGCCGTGCGCTGTGCGGGTTCGAATCCCATCCCAAGAGACATTTTTTTCTTGGCTATGGATGTTGTGATTGTTCGTAGGTGGTAGACGGTCTCTGACTGTCGAACGCGGAGGTACTACCCGGCGGATCTCGTGAGCGTTGCCAGAATATGTGCACGTTGCATGCACACGTGTTCCCTCGCCAGAGTCCGTGTGACGTTCTCCCTTTCACCTGTATCCCCCTATAGCCCCACGGTACCCCATGGGGTAGTTGGTAGTCGGAGTATAAAAAAATAATGCTGTCTCTGAAGCAGATGTTACGTCACATCATAGCCAAACATTCATAGCTGAAGCCTCATAACGTTTAAGCAACACGTACAGCTACAAAACGAGTACACAACAAGTGTACAACAGCTACTGCTAAGTTGACATATTGTAGTAAGACCTACATAATGTCACAAAAAACCTATATGATGTCAAAAAAAACGATATAACGTCACTTTTCATGATACGTAATAGCCCTGGCGTTGCAACTCTTCCCCCATTGTCGCTGCTAGACAACGTGGTGACGACGCTTATATGGCGCACTCTTTCTAACACGCTTCTCTCTCTCTCTGTCTAGTACACATAGTAATCTAGAAGAGTGACTTTGGTCAGCACTTGTAGACATAATTGGAACAACATCGTAGACTTTGTTCGAATAAAAGATTTTAGAACACGAGTTTTGAATATACCAAATTTGTTTTTCATCACAAAAAAAACTATAGAATGTCAAAAAAAAACGTAAAATTTCAATTTTCAAAATAAGTGATAGCTGTGTGAGTTCGTAATCCGATTTAGGAAACGAGCCTGTGTACATTTCATTCATGCAGACATGCAAAGTTATTTGAAATCTTTCATAAGAAATCTCAAAATAGGTAAGGATTTGGATTTTAGTTTATATGATACATGATTTAAGGCCCATTATGACCGTTATGACCCTAGGATATCAAGTGCTCTATCTATCAAAATAGCGGAATAGCAAGCTGTCAACGTTGAGTCCTTGTTCATTAATCCGCGTATTAATAACAGCTATTCGCCAAAATGCTTATGCTGTGGTTTTCGCGCTGATTGATCTCCATGAAATTTTAGCCATATGAAAATAGATATGTATGAATTACTTTTTACTGACGTTTCGGCCACCACAGTACCTGTCACAATGTAAAAATTTTGTTGTATGCTCCAGTTACCATGAAGGCCTAAGGCCTAAACACCCATGGGATACCCTGAGGCTATAGGGCGGTACAGGGGAAAAGGGGACGCCACACGGACTCTAACGAGGAAACACGTGTGCATGCAGCACATTCTTCTACGAGATCCGCCAGGTGGTATCTCCGCGTACGACAGTCGGAGACCGTCTACCACCTATGGACAATCACAACATCCATAGCCAAGAGAAAAACTGCTCTTGGGACGGGATTCGAACCCTGTCAGTGCACGGCAACTGATCAAGGGACGAAGCTTCAACCACTGCGGCCACCGCTGCTGCTCCTGCTAGTAGCAATGACATATTTCATACGTATGTGTCTTCCAGGTGAGAAATTGTTTTTTGTTTTTCTTCGCTAGTATACGTTGTATTGCGACAACAGCCTGAAAGGTCATGTACCAAAAAGTCGCGAGGAGTCATCAATATAGTTTGAACGCGGAACCGTGAAAAACCAACAAATCAAAGCCCGGGACCTCCTAGGATAGACACTCCCGCTCACAATAGGACGTAAGTATTCTGTCGTTTTCTTATGTACCAGACACGTCACCCTCGTCCATCGTCCCGAAAACGCCAAAAGTCCTCTGAAAAGTCTTGAACCTATCCAGAATTGTTGTGTCAACACACCGGTTAATTGTTATGCAATCTACGCATACGAGATCCAGTAACTTACTATAAGTAGAAACCTGGATGTGAAAAGCTAGTACATTAGTTGGGTTATGGAATATCAATTAGATATTTCCTTCAACAGATTGATATAGTCGTCAAGTACCTCCGAGACACTCGGTTTCTCAGAACGTGTACCGTGCTAATATCAAAATTATATTGCTATCCGTCCTTGGTATTTTCTAATAAAGTTTAGGGGGTTTGTACACGTCAAAATCCTCCTTGTATACCTAGAATACAAAAGGTCGTCGGTTCAAATTCTTCCTGTGGCTAATTTCAAATTCTGTCGTCTCTAATCTGGATTTTCATTCTCGTGCCGTATTGTCTAACCCCGCCCAGCCATGATTGTCGGTTTGGGGCTAACAGAAATCCAGAAATCTGATAGAGTGAGTTCGAAGGCGTAGCGGGTGCCGCGACGTGGCGTAGGCAGGCAAGCAGAGGCATGTCGTCAGGCTAATAGACAAAGCTAGGCGAGGCGCATGTTAATTGGGAAACGGATAAGCGTGTTGGCTTTAGGGACGCAGGGAACTTCTGGAACGAGATATGCTTTACAATAATCTTTGATTGCCAAATTGTGTTCTGTGGTAGCGTTCGACTCCATTATGCGATAACGAAACCAACCAAGTCAGTCAAGTATCTATACTTCAAAAAGAGTTAATATTAATGCTTTCCTTCGTCCGGCCAATCAGAGAGCCAACCGTAAACAAGTGTTTAATGCTTACTGGCAACCGTTAGAACGATCACGTGAGGTATCTAGGAAAGACGAGTAACGAAGTCAGTGCAAAGTATCATCTATCGACAGTATAAGATCTATCCAAATACAACACGGAGAGTGCCATCAATTACCAGCATCGACAACTGCGAGAGTGAATTATTAGCATTGAAAGCCGGGTTCTCACTGTGACCGCTTGATGCCGTCTATTATGGTGCCTAGTAGAAATACTCTACTCGCCATGAGAAACTTATAATGCTGCTTTCATTCGTCCGAACGCCAACCGCGTATAGCTGTTTTGCACTTATTGGTAATGATCAGCACGGTCAAGGCAGACGACGAAAAAAAATAGTGGTAATGCAGGTATACGGTCTATCGAATGGCGGGTAGACCAGTGTTGACGACCTTTTCTTGTTATTTTTAGGAAACCTTTCAATCTTCAGGTGCCACTTGTTGTTATGTAGTTAGTCTACGTAATGCGGAAGGCCACTCTGTTTTATTTACGAAACATTTTTCATCATTGCAGAGTTAATCAGTATCGTGACTTCTCGCAATGGTGATGACCATAAATTGACCCCCTTCTCCCCTTTTTATATTGTCTTCTAGGTTCTAAAAGAATAAATAATAGTTAAAAAAAACTAAAAAAGAATTGACACAATCCTGGCGGTCCTAATAAGGATAATGAAAAACTGTTATCAAATTACTGCATTGTCATCGGTGCTTGATACGTGTGCGAAGTTTCAAATTAATCAGACTTTGGAAATTAGTAATAAATGCTATAGTATCTAACATGGGTCAAAGTATACATAAAAATGACAAATCAAAGTTTCTTATAAATAGTTTGGACATTTTTAATGTTACAGAAGCTGTTCAAAATGGTTATGCACATCGTTGTTCTTAAAACAATGTGTCGTGTTGAGCAGCAGGCCATATCCGTGTCAGCTCTAATTTCGTTCGCAGCGGTATGGATCCTTTCCACGAGCTCTTTCCGTATCGTCGACACATGCCAGTAGACTTTTTGCTTCATTGTGCCCCAGAAAAAATAATCTAGGGGCGTTAAATGGGGTGATCGCCGTGGCCAAGCGCAGTGCCTCCACGTCCTATCCATGGAGAATGTTGCCTATCCAAATGTTCTCGTACAATTCGCGCAAAGTGTGTGGGAGCACCCACCACATGTTGCGGCGGTTGATAAGTAGCAGATCATGGAGTAGATCTGCAAACTCGGTACTCAAAAAGTCCAAAAATCACTGGCCATCTATCCTTGGAGGTGGCTTAACTGAGCCGACTAAAACTCCGTCGATCATTGCGGCCCTCATGTTTACATTGAATCCCTGTTGGAAAGTGCTCAGTCGAACTGCATGAGCGGTTTCCGAAGACTGCAAGTGGTCGTTTCTATGGTTTATGATCCCCTGCCTCGCAAATTTTTCTTCGTCCGTCTATAGAATTTTTCCCCAAAGTTGCAGTCCTGTCGCAGCTGCCGTTGGAACCCGAAGCAAAATATGATTTTTGCTGCATATTCTGGCTCATGAAGATCTTGAACTCTTCGAAAATGGTAAGGATGTAAACCTTCTTCTCTCTTAAGGACTCTCCAAACCGACCAATGTGACAAGTGGAGTCTTGCAGCGATCCTTCTCACACTAACTCTCGGATCTCGGGTAATCATATTGAGAATCTCCTCTTCATCTTGTGGAGACAGTAGCCGATAACGGTTGTTTACTGGTCTTTGAATCCCATCTTCCGCCAGTCTCAGGCATGTAATTCGGTCAGAAAATCGACTTGGATATTCTCTCATAGCAGCTGCGGCATTTTCATTGTAAAAACCCTAAACAAACGCCATATCAGCAACATGGTGATTTGAAGATTCATTATGTGGACGATTTGGCATGTTTGAAACTTAGGTACTACTAATAAAATGTTCAGTCACAAATCACTTCCAACTCAAATACTTTCAGAAAATTGATATTGAGACTAGTCAGGAATGGTAACAAAATGAACTTGTGATGACAACGCGTGGCGAGGGACTACAAAACACTCACTATGACATTGACAACAAATAACCGGTTGTTACCATCTCGATAACGAGACCTTTCGGTCTATCCCTGGAATGTGGGGTGTGGTTCGCTACCTGGATCAGGACGGCTTGCTCAAGGGTCATGTTTAAGCAACATTTGTGCTTAAAACAACTAACATAGGGTAACAAATTTGGTGTCATTTTGTAGATTACTTAGTTAGCTGTAGAATTAGCACAAAAAAGTACAACTTCACAAACTAGTTTTTGAATGGTGGGCGGAAATGCACAAAATAATCAATTTTCTTGCATATTTTTTTCTGCTTTTGTCTGTTTTTAAGTATGTTTGACGGTTAGTATCAATACAAGTTTATAATCGCTAAAACATGTTGTCGTTCAAATGACACCAAATTTATCATTCTGTGCCTCTTATGTTTTCAGTTATTACAATTTTCATTCATGCACTAGCGTAATCGTAACGTAAAAATAAAAATGGCTGCCATTTCAAGGAGGGTCAGGTAGGACATTGTAGGGGGTGGATTTGTCGATAAAAGTAGCTGAAAAATACCCCCCTTGAATATCGGAATATCATGACCAAACACATTGTATATGGTTTATTAAGGTTATTTTTATTAATTTAAACTTGAAGTTTATGTGTCATTTAATCATATGTACTATTCGTCATTGTCTGTCAGAGCGGTCCGTAGGACCTTTACTCTTGGTTGAAGTCTTGTAAGTCAGTAGGTCTGTCAGGTCTGGTTGCCCAGATACCAGACAAAGTCAGGGAGAAAGAAGAGAAGAAGAAAGGAAGGAAGGAAGGAGGGAGATCAAAGAAAAAAGAAGTGCATCAATTTGAGGGGTGCCTTGGCATTGCTAGTTAGTATTCGGCAATTTTAAATTGATCCTAAAATTAATTTTGGGATTGGTTGTTGAGGAAAAATTATAATTTTGGTTGGACCTAAAGTCGCACGATTTAATTTTGTTCACAGTGCGAGTCGCGGCCTTGTGTGCTTGCGAACTTGCTCGACTGTGTAGAGTCTACTGACTCGCGCAACAAAGGGTTGTTATGCGATTCTGCTGACTGTAACGTAGCTGCGCGTGTTGTTTGATGTAGTCCCTTAGGTAAGGGATGTCAAGGTCTCTGTGAAGGGTCTCGTTGGAAACATACCATGGGGCGTTAGTGATTGTACGCAAGGTTCTGTTCTGCGAAACCTGCAGGCTACGCAAATGCGTTTTGGCGAGAAAACACCAAGCCGCACTTGCGTAAGTGATCGCTGGTCTAATAACCATCTTGTATAGTCGAACTTTGTTGATCAAACTTAATTTTGGTGTTCTACATAGCATAGGGTAGAGTTGCCGAAACGAGATTTGGAATTTAGTTTTTAACGCTTCAGTGTGCTTCTGCCAGGTTATCCCCTTGTCAAGAGTGATACCTAGATACTTAGCAGAGCTTTCCCATGGTACCCGAGCGCCATGCACTTAAACCTCAGACGGGGCGCCGCTACGTTTTTTAGTACAATAGATTGCCTGCATTTTCGAATGATTAATTTTGATCAGCCACCGATTCGCCCATTTCAATACCTCGTCCACTGCACTTTGCAGCCTGTCGTGATCTAGATCCCCAGAGCACGACTGGGCCACCAGGGCAGTGTCATCAGCATAGAGATAGGTTTCACAGCTGCTCGGGCAAGGGACGTCATGAATAAAAAGTGAATAAAGGACTGGTCCAAGAACCGAATCCTGAGGGACACCGGCTTTGATGGGCCGTGTTGTCGACAGAACGTTATTAATTTTGATCCGAAATTTCCTACCCTCGAGAAAGGATTTCAAAAGTTTTAGGAGCCAGAAGGGGAAGCCCTTATGGATCAATTTGTAGAGAAGGCCCTTGTGCCAAACTTTGTCAAATGCCTTTGAGACATCCAGTAGCAAGATGCCAGTACTTTCATTACGGGTGAACCCGCTGGTTACTCGTTCAACAAGCCTTATGGCCTGTAGCTTCGTACTATGCTCAGACCGAAAGCCAAATTGCACGTCAGGAAACACATTGTAGTCTGCCGAGAAATTTTCAAGGTGACGTAGAATCACCTTTTCAGCGAGCTTCGAAGGAGCTGACAGTAGACTAATGGGGCGGTAATCCTGAGGGAATATCGAACCCACCTTCTTTGGAATCATTATGACATCAGCGGTCTTCCACGCCGTTGGGAAGTGCTTAATCATACGTATCCCGGCTCTTTACCAGGCTGCAGAAGCGACTATATGCGAACCAAGTGCAAACTGGTTGGAACTCTAAAATACAGTACAGTAGTCAATGACACACAAAACTTAGGTTTCATTTAAAAAAAGCCTTACCGGTAGCACTTTCCTGAGATAGATATTATTTTATTTTATTTTCTCAGATATTACATGAAAAACTTGATATTAGGCCTTATAACTTTTATATGAAACTGTATTTCTAGGAGGCCATATAAAAAAGGTAGAGGGGTCAATTTATAGGCTGTTGCTTACCAGCTCATGCAAATCTGACCCCGATTGAATTTTTTATGGGGATTGGGGATTCCTTAAGGATAAAGTCTATTTAAACGGTTCGCATACGCATAAAAGATTTTTCTAGTTGATGATGTTGTACCAAAATTTTATTCTGTATACAGCTGAGAATTGAGAGAATACTATTGATAGAATCTCATACTTCTAGATTTTTACAAAAGGAACAAAATTTTCTCAGTCAGAGGGGTACCTGCCTTTAAAACTTTGTGTGGTGGTATCAGATTGAAAGGGGGGGGGGTGTACTTCAGTAAAATATTTTTTGTTTTGCGACGTCTACGGCACGTCAATTCATGTGGGCTCTTAGTTGGTAATGCTACTTCATTTTCAAAATTTTCTTAAATGGCAGCGGTGTTATGAGTAAAAATTGTAGCTTCCCAAAGTTTGCGGCATAATTTCATAGAAACTCGAAACTTTTTGGTTTAGCAGTTGAGAATTTTCAATTCAGCATACGGCTTAAAACCTTACGTGAGATTGTGAAAAATAGTTTACGCATTTTTTTTCTTCATACATGAGGACCCCTAAAAGCTTGGGGCCCCATATCATTGATACGTCTGATATGGTGATAGCTACGCCCCGCAAGGTTGCGACAACTGCCGATTGAGAATCAATAGTTCTAACCCTAAGAGGATAGGCTACTAGGGAGGGGCGGAGGAGTTGGTCTTTATTTTAAACAAGTATTCCAGTTTAGACCAGTTGAAGTGAACCTCTTGGGTAGTAGCATGCTTGAAGTACTGTGTTGTAAGTGCAAAGCTGAAAGCCATTTTCAGTGAAAGGATAAAGCTTTAGCTATATTTCACCAGGACCCTTCCGATTGTAGTTGGCAAATTTATAATGACATGAGGACTTTCGACTTGCCTCTCTTAGATGCGAAAAAAAGGTCTATCTGTCACGGTTTGATCAATTAAATTCGAAGAAAGCCTGGGATCAACTTAGGATGATGAACGTTTGTCCCCAGAAACATACTGAGATTCCATTAAATTTACTAGAGCCAAACGAAGTTAATGACCACTTTTTATTAAATTTTCAAAATACCCATACCCGTTCCCGTTTATGTGATGCTGCAGCTGAATTTTATCAACAGAATTTATTCGATGCTAATTTAACATTATGTGAGTTCAAACCTGTGAGTGTTCAGGAGATCCTAGATATACTAAGTGACATATAAATCCGAACACCCAGTTTAAATGGTTTTATTTTAATAAAATTTTGTATAAGTACTTAATGAAGCATAATAAGTAAATGATAAAAATTTCAAAATGATTGCACTGCTTTAAAGCCCTTTGACCTTTAATAATGTGTGGATGCACCCTGATGTGCTACGCATTCTCCAACGCGCCTAGGCATGCTTCTGATCAGGTGGTCAATGTCCTCCTGTGGTATCTCATTCCAGGCAACCACCAACTCCTCTCGAAGTGCTTCTAGAGTCTGAGGAGGACGTTGCAGATTGAGCAATCTCCTACCCATCATATCCCACACGTGCTCAGTTGGGGATAAGTCGGGAGATCTTGATGGCCATGGTAACAATGTGACATCATTATGTTGAAAGAAGTCTATTCTGACTCTTGCAACATGTGGTCGGGCATTATCTTGTTGGAAAGTTGGATCTGCCAGGGTGTCAAGATAGGGTAAAAGATGGGGTTCTAGAACTTCGTGGATATAACGCTGCGCGTTCATGTTACCTCTGATGAAGATTAAAGGTGACCTGGAACCATAAGCTATAGCACCCCAAACCATAACTCCAACAGTGTGATGAACATGTCTTTCAATAAAAAACTGTGGATTCCTCCTTTCACCACGTCGCCTTCTAACCCTGGCACGACCATCGTGCATGCCTAAACAAAATTGAGACTCGTCACTAAAGACAATACTGTTCCATTCCTGATCC